TCCCTGTATCCCTGTATCCCTGTATCCCATTCCCACCTCATCCTCTGCTCCATCTCCTGGTGCTGCCCCCGGATCCGTTCCCGGTCGCATTCCAGGCTCTGCTTCTCCTCCCGGAATTTCTTCTCCTGCTTTTCCAGCCGGGAGTGGAGGGAGCTGAGCAGCGACTGCAGCCTGGGGAGGGACGGGAATCTTGGGAATGCGGCCGGCCTGGAGCCGGGAAAATCCGGCGGGAAGATCCCTAAAAGGGCTGGGATGAGCTGGGGACTCCTGGGAGATCCCAAACGGGAATGGCAAGGCCTTTGTGCTCCCTAAAATCACCAGGAAAATCCCAGCTGGTCCCTGGAAAACAAATCCAAGGATCCCAGGGTGGGAGGAGCCTCTTGGCCAGTTTGCCTGGAACTGGGAGCACTGGGAAAATCCCGTGATCCCTATTCTGGCTGGGATGAGCTGGGGATTCCTGGGAGATTCCACCCTGGAATGGCAAGGCCTTTGTGCTTGGAATGTTCTCCCTGGAATCACCAGGACAATCCCAGCTGGTCCCTGGAGAACAAATCCAAGGATCCCGGGGTGGGAGGGGCCTCTTGTCCAGTTTCTCTGGAACTGGGAGCGCTGGGAAAATCCAGTGGGAATATTCCTAAAAGGGTTGGGATGAGCTGGGGACTCCTGGGAGATTCCACCCTGGAATGGCAAGGCCTTTTTGCTCCCTAAAATCACCAGGAAAATCCCAGCTGATCCATGGAAAACAACCCCCTTTGTGCTTGGAATGTTCTCCCTGGAATCACCAGGACAATCCCAGCTGGTCCCTGGAGAACAAATCCAAGGATCCCGGGGTGGGAGGAGCCTCTTGTCCAGTTTCTCTGGAACTGGGAACACCGGGAAAATCCAGCAGGAAGATCCCCCCCTCCTCCACTAAAAGCATCTCTGGGGAAGCCCTGGCGTGGCCGGGATCCCCTTGGGAAGCGGGAAGAATCCCGCTGGGAATCCCCCGGGGCCGGGATTTACCGGCTGATCCTCCTCTTCTGGAGGGAGCGCAGGGTGGAGTTCTCCAGGTCCTGCTGCCGGAGCACGTCCAGGTTGTGCTCCAGCTTGGCCCGGTTCAGGTGGTAGATGCCTTTCATCTGCTCCAGCTTCTGCTCCAGGTGCTGAGCGATCCAGGGGGAAAAAAAAAACCCGGGAATTACGGGCGTTCCCGGCCTCGGAATCCCAGCCCTAAAAAATCTGAGTTCCGGCTCAAATTTTCCTGGGAAAGCTCTAAACAGCCCCATGAGTCGATCCCGTGAGCCGATCCCAGGTGATGATCCCAGCACTCAGTCCCATGAGATGATCCCATGAGAGGATCCCTGAGCTGATCCCAGGAGAGGATCCCATGAGAGGATCCCAGCAGTCAATCCCAGGAGATGATCCCAGGAGATGATCCCAGGATTCAATCCCAGCAGTCAATCCCATGAGATGACCCCAGGAGTTGATCCCTGAGCTGATCCCATGACACGATCCCATGAGATGATCCCAGGGGTCGATCCCAGGGGTCGATCCCAGGAGCTGATCCCATTAAATGATCCCATGAGTTGATCCCAGGAGTCAATCCCATGAAATGATCCCATGAGACGATCCCAGCAGCTGATCCCATGAAATGATCCCATGAGATGATCCCAGGAGTCGATCCCATCAAATGATCCCATGAGTTGATCCCAGCAGTCAATCCCAGGAGTCGATCCCATGAGATGATCCCACGGGAGGATCCCATGAAATGATCCCATGAGTTGATCCCAGGAGATGATCCCAGGAGTCGATCCCAGCAGTCAATCCCATTGCACGATCCCATGAGCCGATCCCGTGAGCCAATCCCATGAGCTGATCCCATGAGCTGATCCCATGAGCTGATCCCATGAGCCAATCCCGTGAGCCGATCCCACGAACCGATCCCGGGAGCAGATCCCACCCTGCCCCCCCCTCACCTGCACGTCCCTCTCGAGCTGGAGCCTCATCCTGTCGAGGGTGGCCACGTCCTGCTCCTGCAGCTCCTGCAGGTGCCGCTCCGACTGCTCCGCCCTCTCCGTGCGGCCCCGCAGCCATTCCAGCTGGGAATTCCAGACCCTTCAGCTCCCGGGAAAAGGCTGTGAAACCACCCCTTTCCCCCCTCCCCCACCCCCCCCCAGCCATCCCAAAAAAACCAGCGGCTTCCACGGGCAGCCCATGGATCGGGATGATGGATCCAGGACGGGGCTGGAGCAGCGGGAATGGCTGAGGGGAGCTGGGAAAGCTCATCCCAGGGGAAAAAAAAAAAAAGAGGAATCGGGAGGGAGCTTTTCCAGCCCCCACAACTCCCTGCTAGGAGCGGGGAGATGCCCCCAAATTCCCAGAGGAACGAGGAACAGGAGGAGAGGGAACGGCCCCCAGCTGGGCCAGGTGGGATTTTGGGATAATTCCCACCTGGAAAGGGTGGGTAAACGTCGGGATGGACCTCCCAGGGCAGGGCTGGAGCCGCCATCCCCCCAGGGATTCCCAATCCCTGGGGACTGGGACACGGATCCAGGGTGGTCTGGTCAGGGCTGGGTGGAATTTGGTGCCTCCAGGGGGGTCTTTTCCCGCCCGGATCCCTCCGGGATTCCCAGATATTTCCCCCCCCCGGGGGGGCGTCACCTGCCGCTCGTTGTGGGCCCGGATGGTCTCATTCCACCTTTTCCTGCCGCTCTCCAGCATTTCCCGCCGTTCCTGCTCCAAAGCCTCCTGTGGGGGAGATCCCTGCCATCCCACGGAGCTCCCACCGGCATTCCCAGCCCTCGGGAATTCGGGATTTCAGCCCCCCCACCCCCATCCCGAGGCCTTTTCCCCACGGAAGGGATGATTTTCCACCCCCCCCCCCCCTTTCCAAGATTCCCGTGGGAATGGGGGGGGCACCTCGATGTGCCGGAGGTTGCTCCGGAGGGTTTGGAGCACATTCCTGGTCTGCTCCTCCATCCTCTCCAGGAGCAGGTGGATCTCATCCCGCTGCTCCCGCAGGGCCTGCTCGAACCGCCCGTCCTGCAGCTGCAGCTCCTGCACCCAGAGCGGGAAACACCGGGAATACACCGGGAATACACCGGGAATACACCGGGAATCCCGGGAAACGGGCTCAGGGAGGGGCTCCAAGCTCTCCCTGGATCCTTCCCTTCTCCAGCCTGGCCATTCCCAGCTCTCCCAGCCTGGAGCCAGAGCCTGACATTGGATCCATCCCCAGCCCAACTCCTCTCTGGGAAGGAGTTCTGGGAACAAGGGGGGGTTCCCTGGGAATCTCGGCACTCAGGGAAGGGGCTCCCTTCCCCTTTCCCTCCTTTCCCATCCCCACATTCCATAAAAACCCCTCTGGGTGGATCCTGAGTGGCCTTTAGCATGGAATGGTTTGGGTGGGAAGGGATTTTCAGGATCATCCCATTCCACGTTCAGGGACAATTCC